TCTGCCTATAGTTTTCTTAAAACTCTTTCGTTTGAAACTAATATTTCGATATTTCATATATGTATCTTTCGTCGGTCGCTGTGGTGCAGTGGTAAGCAGTGCGCGCTTCCACTTTATTTATTTATATGATATTAGTCAAACGAACAATATATTCTTACTGACTACTGAACAATTTTACTTAAAGACTTGTTAAAGTAGCTAAGTAAGAGGGTACGGACTGTTGCAAGGGGTAGTGCCGGATCAAGATTTGGAACATTATTTAACTCTAAGAGGGCTCTTGAGAGTGGAGCAAATTTAGCGTAATTATACTTAGAAAACTCCACGTAGAACAATTGAGAATGGCGAAGGTTACGAAAAGGGACATTGAACGTTATTTTTTCTAAAAGGATTAGGCAGTCAACGGAGCTGTTCATAACATTTGCAACAAAAGAGCAAGCGAGAAATGCAAACCTGTGATATAAGGGCTTTAAAGCCAAAAGCTGACAACGAGATTCGTAAGGTGGTATAGGTTCACTGAAATTCAGTGAGCGAAGAGCCGATTTGATGAAAACCTTTTGAATTCGCTCTATTCGGCTTATATGCGAGGCAATATATGGTCTCCAAATAAAACAAGCATAGTCAAGTCTTGATCTTACTAGCGATATATAAAGCAACTTCAGTGTGTACGGGTCCGTAAACGCAGAGCTGTTGCGACGGATAAAAGCCAACATGGCTATGATTTCGAAACAATATAATTAATATGCGTTGAGAAGCTTAGTTTCGTATCGAAGTATACACCCAAGTCCTTAACTTCAGCCACATATTTGAGGGAGACTCCAGAGATATGATAACACGTTGAGATAGGAGTTTGCTTTGTCGTAAAGGAAGAGTACGAACATTTATTAACATTCAGGTTAAGACGATAGCGAGCGCACCAAGACACAAGATTATCGAGTTCCGACTGAAGAACAAAGGCGTCTTACAAGTTTTTTATTATTGAGTAAATCTTAAGGTCGTCTGCATATAGCAGAAATTTAGAAGCTGCGAAACAAGAGCCGATGTCGTTAATAAACAACGTAAATAACAAAGGTCCTAGGATGCTGCCCTGGGGCACACCTGAAGATGCAACAAAAGGTCGGGAGGAGACATTATCTAAGGTAACCACACAAAGTCTATTACTCCGATAGGACTTAATCCATTCAAGAAAAGTTGAATGGAAACCTAAAGCCGAAAGTTTGGAGGCTAACACTCTATGTGAAACTCTGTCGAAGGCTTTCGAAAAATCTGTGTAAACACAATCTACTTGATTCCCTTCACGAAAGGCAGCGAAACAGTCTTCAGTAAAAACAGCAAGGTTTGTTACTGTTGATCTACCTTTGACAAATCCGTGTTGGTTACAGCAGATAAGACCACTAATTGCGAATGAGAGTTTGAGTTTAACAACAATCTCGAAAATTTTAGAGACCGTGGATAATTTCGAGATAGGTCTATAATTACTTACGTCATTCTCGCTACCGCTTTTATAAATTGGGGTTATAGATGCTCTTTTCCAGTCGTCTATAAAAACGCCGGATGTTAAGGACTTATTGAAAATAAGCGTTAGCGGCTCAATCAGGGTGGAGCACTTTTTAAAAATAATCGCCGAAAGTCCATCCGCGTCCATTTGTTTGGAGGATTTTAGCGATTCGATGCCTCTACTAACGTCTTCTTTGGTTACAAAAAGCGAACCAAAAGACAGTGACGAGTCGGAAAGGAAACAGTCATCGAAAGGTAGATCAGCATCGGACACAAAATTGGCACAAAAAAGCTCAGAAACAAGTAAGAGCAGCGCTGTCTTCGGCTATGCCGAAGGCTTCATACCTTTCATGAACATCTGCAAATTTTAGGTTGACAGATTACTGATTTTGAATGCATCTGCATACATCGATAGAGGAGTTACATACTTATATAAAAAATCGCATCTAAACAATCAGAGGTATGGAAGATATACTTTATATGGCACCAATCTAAATGATTTTCACTGCTATGTGATTGGTATGTAAACCGGTAACACAATTTATTGGATTTAGTTTCCTACATAAAGGAGATATATCGCAAAAACTGGTATCTGAACAATCAGTGCTATAGGAGATAAAGCTTATACAGCATAGATTTTGACGATTTTCTCAGTAGACTTTGTATTATTATTTATAAAATATCTTACGAAATTTATCGGTTTTAGCTATTCAAATAAAGGAGTTTTACAGTAAAATCCCATATCTGAACAATCAGATGTATGGAATATATATGTTGTAGTCACCCGATCCTTGTTATTTTCACTGTAAGTATTCTGTTAATAATGAGTGAAAATGGTGCGAAATTTCATGTTCCTAGCTGCATAAATGGAGGAGCTATGAAAAAGACCTCATATCTGAACAACCAGTTGTATAGGGGCTGCAGGCTATAGTGACCCGATCTTCGTTATTTTCACTGTAAGTCTTCTGCTGATAATGAGTGACCACAGTGCAAAATTTCATGTACCTAGCTACATAAATGGATGAATTATAACGAAAAATCTCATATCTGAACAATCAGTTGTATGGAAGCTATAGGTTATAGTTATCCGATCTTTTTAATTTTCACTGTAAGTTTTCTGTTGATAATTGTTGAAAACAGTGCGGAATTTCCGGTTCCCAGCTATATAAATGGAGGAGTTATAACGAAAAATTTTATATCTGAACAATCAGTTGTATGGGAGCTATAGGTTGTAGTGAACCGATCTTTGTAATTTTCACCGTAAGCATTCTGTTGATAATGGGTGCAAGTGCTGCAAAATTTCATGTTCGTAGCTGTATAAATGGAGAAGTTATAACGAAAAATCTCATATCTGAACAATCAGTTGTATGGGAGCTATATGTTAAAGTGGTCTGATTCTTCCGGTTCCGACAAATGATTAATACCTTATAAAAATACACCCACCTACTAAATTTGATCCGGATATCTCTAAAACTGAGAGACTAGATTGCATACAAACAGACAGACAGACGGACAGACGGACATGGATAAATCAACTCAGCTCGACGATCTGATCATATAAGTATACATTTTAATGGGTCTATCTCTTCTTATTCTGGTACTTACAAACATCGGACCAAAGTTATAATACCATTTCATGCTCATGAAAGGTATAAAAAGATTAGCAGCATCAACAAGAGTGGTCGCATGTTTATCGCTGTAGAAGACGGAGGAAGGTATGCCAGAACTTGATTTTTTAGATTTTATATAACTCCAAAACTCTTTTGGGTTATTTTTAATGTTGAAATCATAGTTTTTAATGTACCTATCATGTATACGCTTATCGAGGGCGTTGAAACTCTTACGGTAACGCTGATAACGTTAAAGGTACAAAGTGTGCCCGGATTTTTTTAACCTTTTTGAAGAATTTACTCTTCAGATTTTTCAGACGATTCAACTCTTTTGTGTGCCATGGTAATCTATAGGGTTTAGCATCAGGCATAGAGACACCAGTCAAGAATGATAGAATACAAGATTGCGCCGATTGCAGCAGAATTCGTGAGAGTAATTTTAGCGTGACGTCATCGTAGAGTTGACAACTGAGATCGGCGAGAATGAGGGCGACTAGTGATGTGCTGAATTGTCCCCAATACTCGGTACCCAATACTTAAAAAAGATTTCGGTATCCGATACCGATTATTTACATTAAACCCTCGCCATTATATGCATTTCAGGTTTAGAAAAAACTTTCATTAATAATTTATATGATATCGGCTAAAAAACTTGAACTTATCGCCACAGAAAAATGTTATTTTATCAGTTTTAACCTTAGTCGATCCAAGGTTCAAGAAAAATACTTGACGGATGAAGAAGCCTTTCAGGGGAGAGATTCTGTAGCCAGTTAGCGACAAGTTTCGGATCGATATCGCACTTGTTGACTTAGAAATATTTGATATCAAAAACGATACCGATTCGAAAATTGTCGTTAACTGGTTACAGAATCTGTCCCAGGCCTACAAAAATGATATCGTCCGATTCAGCTGGAACAAAAATGCTTCAAACAAGTAAGGGTTTCTCTGAATTATGGCATCGAACCGACATATATACATCTTTCATTTGAATCAGTAAAAAACTCTATTGGCTCTTACATTCGGGTTTTGTTAGGCGTTTTTTCCATATTTTTGGCCTATGTGCGCTTTTATTCGAAACCTAAATGTTTCGGTACCGAGTATCGAGAGTATTGGGTACTTAAAAGTATTGACTCAGCACATCACTACTGCTGTCTTCTCTACTATGACGTCACCAAAACAGCTGATTCTGTCAAAATCACTGAGAGCCGAGTAGCGGTATCGTCATCGGCGCCACCTCTGTATTCTCTCCACCGTGGGCACTAGTTATATCAGCATTTCTAACGTTACATGAAATGGTTTGCTTATTAGCTTTATCATTGTTGTTCACACAACTACAGAAACGCGCAGTTCGATGGAGTTCTTTGATTTCAGCAGTAAGTGAAGAGGGAGTCTTAACAATCTCGTCCACTTGCTGTTTATGCAAAGCTACCATCTCTGCATAGAGAAATTCACTTTTTGCTATTAAGATCTGCTTGTCGGTATGTAGGGCATTGATAATTTCAGTGGAGCGCACTTGTTTGGATTTTATAGCCGCAATTTCACGTAGTATGTTGGATAACGCTAGTTGCTTATTCTCTTCATCAATGTCACTATCACTGATTACACTATGTAACAAGGTTTTTGTCCCTGGGTTGTAATTGTTATTTCCTAGTCAGTTAGGTCCCAAAAGTATAGAAAACAGCTATTGTCGCAAGATAACTTTGCTTTTGTGACCATACCATACCATAGAACTACGACAATGTCAAGAAAGTGCTGAACGCATTGAAGTATGAGCAATATGGCTGGGAAGTGATCGGAGATTTCAAAATAGTGACATTCTTAATGGGCCTGCAAGGCGGTTACACCAAGTTTCCTTGCTTTCTATGCCTGTGGGACAGTAGAAATGACAGTGCACACTACAGTAAGCGTGAATGGCCACAACGAACTGAATTCACAGTGGGGAGGAACAACGTCAAGTGGGAGCCCTTGGTGGACCCCCAGAAGGTACTGATGCCACCACTCCACATCAAACTGGGTCTTATAAAGCAATTCGTCAAAGCTCTCGACAAAAATTCTTCAGCGTTCAAGTACCTACAAGACTTGTTCCCTAAGCTCTCTGAGGCGAAAGTTACAGCCGGTATCTTCGTTGGACCACAAATAAAGAAAATCTTCGAGTCTGAGGAATTCCCCAAGAAGCTCACTCGTGTTGAGAAAGCTGCTTGGATGAGTTTTATGTCAGTGGTACAGGGATTCCTAGGCAATCACAAAGCCGCAAACTACGTGGAGCTGGTCGAAAGTCTGGTGGAGAACTACGGCAAAATGGGCTGCAGGATGTCTCTCAAACTCCATATTCTGGATGCACATCTTGACAAATTCAAGGAGAACATGGGAGCATATTCAGAGGAGCAAGGCGAGCGCTTCCATCAGGATATAATGGAATTTGAGCGGCGATACCAAGGACAATACAATGAGAACATGATGGGAGATTACATTTGGGGATTGATTAGAGAAAGTGACTCGCAGTTTAAACGCAAATGTCGAAAAACCACCCGCTTCTGATTTACTTTTATGTTTTTGGTTTTCTGAAGTTTTAATAAAATTTAGTTTTGATTTATATGTGCTGTTCTGTATGATTTTCTCTGTAGTGAAAGACTCAAACACGTTTTTCTCATAATTTTAGCATATTTTAATGAATCACATTGTCCTGGTCACAAAAGCAAAGTTTCCGAGGAATATTAGGTGGTTTCCATACTTTTAAGGCATAACAGACTAGGAAATAACAATTACATCCCAAGGACTGAGAAATTTTTTTTTTTGTTACTTAGTGTTATCAGACACATTCTTAGGATTAAGAGATACATAGTTGTGAGAGGCTGGGCGAATTAGATGACGATGTACTCTTAGCTGCGGCTGAATCTTCCCAAATAACGTTAGGGGGAGAGGTGCGGATGGATCTTTTGCGAGCAGCGGCACACTCGTTGCAAAAATATTTATTTCCAGAGCTCTTTAAGAAATCCAAGTCAGCAGGCAAAACACCAACACATTTCATATGAAAAAACTCGTTGCAATTTTCACATTGAATTTTTGTTTTAGCTTTCATAAGGTCAACTTTTTGACCACAAATACACGGCAAACTTATTAGTTCCAAACACATAAGAGTCACTGCCTCAGGCGCTATGTTATTATTTTAATAAAGTTGTCAATTTGACGGAGAAAAAGTTCACCGACTCAGAGCTTAGTAAAACACGTCCACTCGCAACAACGACTTGTAACTTATTAAATAATTTTAGTTTACCCCTTTAAACTGGGGCAACCCTCAAACACATCAAAAATGTTCTAAATTGGCAAAATAAGGTGGGGTATTCACAACGGTGTCGTAAGTGTCGTATTGTTGTATGTCGTAAATTTCAAACGCCTAAAAAATATATTAAGGGGGTTTGCAAAGTACCATCAAAGTCATACTTTGAATTTTCGAAGTGTTAAATAGTTGGTTGTGGTTTCAAGTTCTCTAAACATTTATTCATGTTTTTAAAATTTACGACATACAACAATACGACACTTACGACACCGTTGCTAATCCCCCAATAATTTCTTAAAGCTCTTTCATTGGACATCCATCGTTAATATTTCATATAACTTAGGTATAAAATAGTTCAATTAGACTTCTCAAATAGGTGGCAACCCTATCCAAAATATTTCCAAACTACTATTTTCTTAAACCTCTTTTGTATGACACCCATACATGTGGAAACCCTCCTATACGTAGTTAAGTTATAAAGCCTTTTCAAACCCATTTCGATTGATACCCTTATTTAATAATTTATGTAACTTTTTAATTAATATGAGCTTAATTTCTTAACAGGTGGCAACTTTTTTCGAAAAAGTACAACCTTCTTGAACATCCACACTCTAAGCCCTTTAATTTGGTACCTCACTTTTGAAAATCGAACGGATGGTGCGGATCTAAGGGCATTGATAAGTAAATAACTTGAGTTTAATTATTTAACAGGTGGCAACTCCTTTCGAAAAAATAAAACCAGTTTGCACATCTACAGGCCAAGCACTTTAATTTGACACCCCACTTTTGGAAATCGAACGAATGGTGTAGATCTTTTATGCTGAACAAAAATGCATGTATTATATATGTATATAGAAGATAGATGTCTGCATAACGTCGACCTAATATTCAAAATACGGCAATGCAGTATTTAAATAAACGGCATTAAGCAACGAGCCGTTTAATATGGCTTCACTGCTAAAAATTGATAAATTAGTGGATGAATATATGTTCTTAATTAATTAATTTTAATATTTAATTTTAAATTTCAATGTCAAATCGCGTGCAAATATAATTTTATGTTCATTACCTAATAAAGGTATGTATTAATTTCTTTTGCAAATTTTCAAAAAGTCAGTTTAAGTCATAAAGTCGAATATCACATAAGTACGTATATAGTGAGAAAAAAATTCCAAAGCTATGTATATGACACCTCAAAATCGGGCAACAAGTAAAAAAGCTATGAAAAAAGACGATGTATTTTGATTTTAGGGCGTGCCAAGGAAAAACATGTTTATGGTGCGAAATTACATTTTAATCTTATTTTGAAGAATAATAGGTTCTAAAATAAAGTGATGAAAACGACATGCGATATTTTATTAAAAAGTCCTTTAAAAATTGCACCACTTGAATAGGGTAACATCTTTGTGGTATGTATGTGTGTCAAATCAATAAAAACTGTTTTTAATGGACGACAGAACAAGAATGAGCTCAGTAGACACATTTCAATTTGCAGAAAATGTAAAAATATATAACGCTTCCTTTTCAGCAAAATTTTTTGCATTTTCTTAGTATTTGTGCGAAGAAGACAACATTAGAATTCAGGGGGATCCAGGATCCAACGATGTGATGGGATTGATATGAAGAGAAATGCAAATATTTTTGACAGCTGAAGCCGGCGCACAGTATCGCATTAATTAAGCATTATCAATCATTTTCATCTCTGGTCATCAACGAAGTTCCTATTAGGAGTATTCGAATTTCACACAATATCAGTGAATGGGCGTGAAACGACATGCAAAAATTATACATTAGATAGCCTGGGCCATAAATCTAAAATTGTTTTAATCAACATTGATGCTACTGTCACCAAACATTATTTTTGTGATTTTATGATTAATTTTTAATTAATGTTTGTATCATAATTTTCACTGAAATTTTACATGACACAGCAACTAAGATTCATAAGAGACAAGAGCGGTCCAGTACAAACAGATATTTTATATTGGATTTTTCGGGCATACGCGAACACATTTTGTTTGTGGTTAGTACTCGTACTTTATGATGCAAACGTAATATACTAGATGCTTTGTTTAATAACTTTTAATTTTTTCCTTAACTATAACCGTAAACTAAAAAGATTCATACGATTTGTTTCGTACCAAATATGGAATGTTCCTGAAAACAAAAAAAAAGTCTTCTATTTTCCGGATCTAAGTTCAATGGAAAAGTTTGGAATTAGTTATTTGGCCTAGTTTGCGAATTAGGCAATCCGTTTGATGATTGACAGCCTTTTCTTTTGGCAACAAAAGTTGCAAGGATAGAGAACAGTCCGGCCAGGTTTTTTCCTACCTTGGCGTTGAAGAGGTAGTGCCACAGAATAAACAGTATACAGAAGACGCACGTCGAGTATAGAAGCAATTTGAATTTATGGCGCGAGCGGCGAGGCAAGCAAGCACAAGCGGCGCTGCCTCTGTTACTTTAGCAGTATTTTCACTCGGCTGACGCTGTTAATTCCATCGTCGCTATGACGGCAAGATGTTAACTAACTTCGTTTTCCGTCACGATCAGCGTTGCCGTTTTGATACAATTGTATATTTTTTAATACTTTTTTTCTAAATTGTAATATCTGATACTTTTTTGTTCCCAAAGGCCGTATTTTGATACTTTCGGCTGGCAGAAATGAATTTTTGAAAACTATGAATAGTATTACTAGTCTAAAGGCAAATATTTTTTCTAATTGTTCAACATATACCGTGTACATAAATTTAAAAATCACCGCAGTTTACAAATTTTAAAGTTTTGTTAGTTTTTAATTTCTTGAAGTTGCCCCTTTTTAATAACTTGAGTGGAATTCCAAAATTTTCTAAACTTTCAAAACTTTGTGAATTTGAGAAATTTTAGTAAATCCCAATAATTCAATATAATGATGAATACTAGATTTCTAGAAATTTTTTATTTTTCAAAAATTTTGAGAATTACTGGAATTCTAACAAATTTTTTCTAAATAAAAGTGTCGAATATACAAAATTGATTGAACGAAATTAAGAGTTTTTCAAAAATTTAAAATTTTCAAACTTTGTTATATCAATACAAAATTTTGAAAAGTCCAGAAAAGTGGAACAATTTTGGAATTTTTCAAAAATGTAAATATCTTTTAGAATTCTAAGAAGTTTTTTACACACAAGTACATGAACATAAGAATTTTTCGACAATTTGTGATGTTTCATATTTTTACAGTTTAGGATGGATTTTAGGATAAATAAAATTCTAAAAATTATGGAAAATATAGAATATTTCTAAAATCTCAATAATTTTGTTCATTTCAAAATATTCTGATTTTAACAAAATTTCTAGAATCTCCCGGATTTCGATAGTTTTTGAAAATTTGGAAATTATCCTAAAAATAAGAAATCTCAACAAATTTAATAATATTATAAAATTCAAAATTTTGGAATTTTCGTTATTTTCTGAACCTGCAAAAATATTCAAACTTGCTGTGACTTTCAACTGTGTAAAATAATACAAAATCGAAAATATTACAAATATAATAATAAAAAAGTAAAAATTGAAAATTAAGTACATAACTTCAAAATTTTGAAAATTCAGTGAATTCGAAAAACTGATAGGCCACCTAAAATAACATAATACTTCGAGCTTAACACACAGCTAAAATTTCAAACTCAAGTGAAATTTGACACCCTTTTTCCATGAATTAAAATTTTCAAAAGCATCCATTCATTAGGTTTGATCCCCAAGCTTCTGGAAGTCACTTCGAGTTACATATACGCGCTCCGCAAGTAAGTTTTCGAGTTTCTTTGATATACGCTCACAGTTTGAACTTTACTCGAGTTTTTCTACAAGTAGCTTGTGGGACAAACGTGTTATATATTCTTGTAATGATATTTCACGATATTCAGTTGAATATTATGAAAATACATGTTCCACAGTCGTGGGGGGGGTTGGGGGGGTTGAATTTCCCCAATTCCCCCTACCTGGGTCCGCCACTGGTCTTCTGTATATTGTTTATTCTGTGCTATAATATAAATGTGTTATGGTGTGAGCACTTCTGCAGTGGCATTCTGAAAATCGCTATATGTAGTAGTTAGTTTCATCGCTAAAAATCTCCAAAAGAATAGCTAGCACCTAACAACATGCAACATTGAGTTACTTGCCCCCTACTGCCAGATTTGGCTGATTACAAATTGTATTTATTACTTTTTCATGTTGTATACTTTTATACTGCTTCACATTTAGAGAAATTTTGCGACGAAAATTTTGCGTCGCGATTGGCAGAATTCCTCTGCTGGTAGATATAAAAACAAGTTAAAAGTCTAAGTCCGGGCGCATCCGAGTATTAAATACCCGGCGCACATATTAAATATATTTTCTTCACCTTTCTGAAAACTACCATTACATGGTAAGCAAAGGTGGTTTTATTCCTGTTGTGAGTATCAATTTTTAATAAAAACAGTGTCCTTAAATTCCAAAAAATCCAAGTTTCAGTATTTCTGAAATCTACCGTTATATATAAAGTGGTCTCAATCATAGTTCGATTTCAAAGAATTTCAATATCTTGCATATCAAGTACAGTAACTTACTGAATATGGTAGAAATTGATACAGATACACTTATGTAGTCATAAGTGGGCGGTCTCACGCCCATTATCCAAAAATCTATTATAATCGTGTTTCCTGCTAAGGAATTTTTCCAAACATCAATTTTGAGTAAATACGATCCAATAGTTACTGATTTATTGCAGATTTAGGGTTTTTGAAATTTACCGTTATATGGGATGTGGGCGTGGTTATTGCCCGATTTCAAAAATGTTCAACTATTTACTATTATTTGCCAACGTGAACTACTGTACTTCTTTTCAATGGTGAGCCGGGCTACGCCTATTTTCTAAAAATTTATAATATATACTTTTTCCTCCATGAAATTAAGATATCTTAACGAAACTTGGCACGCGCATTTGGGTGGAGTGCAATAAGGCCCACGGTCTTTATTTCCTTTGCGAAAGAGCAATAATGGCCGCGGGCTTTA